AAATTGTGACCAAAGAATGGCATTCATAACGTATATCAATGTAAATCAAATAGAAATATAATAATATTTATAACATATAATAATAAAAGAGATCAATAGATATAAAATACAAAAGCGTTTCAATCACTTACTGGTCACATATGTAGCGGCCATTTATGGCACAATTAAAAGTCACATAATCTTTGACATGAGTGCCGGTGTGAAGAGCACTTGGAGTCCATGGAGTGGTGTTTGTCTATCATCTCTTCAAATATATACTTGACTTCATTGGCCAGTCGTATGAATGGGTAGAGTAGGAGAGACATGGAGAGAGAGAGAGAGAGAGAGGGCTGTCGTGACATGAATTTTGAACTTCAAATATAATGTGTTTTCCGAGGAAAGGAAAGACATATGAATGCAAGAGATGAAAAAAAGTTTTTTATCACAAATATTTCTTTTATATAATATTCTGCAAAATTGAGTTTTTAATATAAAAAAATTGTTTCTCATATTCTCCATAATATTTGCGGGCAGAGAGAGAGAGAGAGAGAGAGAGAGAGAGAGAGAGAGAGTTTAAAAGTTAATGAATAGTGTGTTTTTGTAAACTACAACAACTCCACCATACTATAAGAAATAGTCGTTTTTGATTACATAACAGAGAAAAAAGAGTAAAAATGCTGTAAAAACATAGCATTATATCGAATGAATGAATGAATGTTTGAATAGTAATACCACTAATCATAATAAGACTGTGAGTGAGCCGTTCGCATGAGTGAAGTACTCCTCAAGTGTTTAATGGGAATCGTATGGTATTTATGGGAAAGACATGAACCTAAAAGCGAAAGACCAACAAAAAAATATGTGCCCAATATATGCTCGCTTAGCTTACAGAGAAAAAATGTATTGAAAAATCAGTTTTGCTTAATTAATTCTGACTGAAATTCATTCATAAATCTCACGTATGTCTGTACTCTCGCTGTTAGAAATTGGTTTTTGCTGTTCATTCACTAATATATAATAAATAGTCGTTTTTTCAAAAATCTATTAATAATAACCAATTCATATGCAGCACTAATCAAACAAATAATTAGTTTCTCTCAAAACAAATATTATTTCATAAATCAATGCCTACGAAAAGATATTATATAACCGTTTGAAACGTTAGTTGAGTACAAAAGCAATTAAAATCAATTTAAAACAATTTATTTAAGTGAAAACCAAACAGAATACCCATAGAAACAGCAAAACAAATTCATATAAAAACTTTTTATTGTTTGATAGGAAAGCCTAACGACTATTCAAATAGAAAATATTGTTTAAATAATTTTTAGTAAAATGTATTAAATGACACAGGTATTAAATGAACAAAGCATGCCTATAGTATTATGATATCAGTACAGTATTACACATGCATAGTAATTAAAATAAATTAAAATAATTTAAAATAAGTTATAATAATCATATTTCTAAATAAATATATTTTAAACAAAAGTTAAAAACTTACAATAATTATGAGATATATCGATAGCCATTGGAGTGGACGGCGCGCACAGACAGCCTAATCAGGCATTAAATATCTTGAAACATACCCATCGGGTTCGGTATGTGTTGTGGGAACTATACCCTCCCGTAATAATAAGTGGAAGACCTGTCCCCTCAAGTATTGAGTGGTGACTGACGTTGGAGTCAAATATATATTGTTTTTTATAAAAATACATTTCAGTTTTAGGATACTTTTCCTTCAGTCGAGACAATAATATAATGTATACATAAACTGACGTCTCGTTCCCCGCAACTAATAAAACTCACAAAAATCTTAGAGATATACTGTACTCTGGGTTTGTAGGGCTGTCTGTCTGGACTGTCAACTGTCCCCTTATCAGTGGTGGTGGTTGTGGTGGCGGTCACACTGTGTGCACGTCTCTCTCTCTCTCTCTCGCTCTC